CCATAAGGGGCATCGCGCTTCGGCGCGGACGCTATTTAATTTTAAGACATTTTTCAAAACGTTTTGTTTTATTGAATGAGTTATTGTCATTACATACCTATACCCCTTCACCCCTTCATGACCCTAATCTGCCTAATTCCATTCTCCTGATTTAAGGATTACAATAAGAATTTCACAACAACGTATTTGTTAACAAAAGAACACCTGTTAATATCTGTGGTTAAATCTTTAAAAAGCATGTTATTCATACACAATGTAAAAAGTGACAGTAGGGTTCAATTTACTTGTATTGTCAAAGTCAATACCCTTTTAGTCAATAATAACAGGTTTTGTTTTAATTTAAAGACCGACGCTAACGTTAGAAGACAATGAGCCCATAAGATTGTATTTGTTTTACATGAAAACAATCGGCAGAAAAGAATGCCCAAGGTTGTCAAAGTATTAAATGTCTTTTTAATGTATTATTTACTAATAATTACCCTCCGCGGTTTCTGTTTGATGAACAATTAACTATGATAAGTGGGGGAATGCCTAATGGTTAAATTACTCGATATGTTAGGCATTGAACACATATTTGAAATCATTAATATGGTTCACAACATCAATTGTCATTTCATTTATCAGTTTATAATTTGCTAGGGTATTTTATAATTTTTATTCAATATCATTGATATTAGAACGATATTAATTGGTTATTATGTACTTTTTTATTTTTGTTTCCCTCTTGGAGTTTCAGACAAAAACAAAAACTGTACGTCACCTCAAAACAAGTTGTTTCTGTAAGCATACCTATTTTGCCATTTTTTTTTTCATTTACATATACGAGGGTTTATCCAAATATATGCGAACCGTCTTTGTTGCGTAAAATATATTTGAGATATTGATTTGAAATTCTTATACTGCTCAGAAGAATTAAAAACAAATAAACATGTTCTTAGCTTCTTATATTACGACAATTTTTAATTTTACATATCCGCGACAGCGGCGCACTCCAAAAAGTTATTGTCGTCAACGTCATAATAACGTACAATTTTTGCTTCAACGTTATGCAGTCAATGACCGTTTCTGCTTCTCAAAGTAATGTCCGTTTTCCAGTCCATCACTATATCTTTAATGTCACTTAAACACGTATGATCGTGACATTTTTCAAATGTTTTTGTATGTGTCATTGCCAAAATACAACAAAACTTTATGATCGCGCGTTTTTCTAATGTCTGCGTGTCCATCATTTTCCCGTTGTTAACAATATCGGCGTCAAGCATTTCTAGCAATATCAACAAAAATTAACGGACATGACGTCCACAATTAGAAATAAAACTTAAATGACATCCTGGAGGAAACATGCAATGTTTAGCCGGTTTTCTAAGTAAATTGTTTTTGTTTTTAGCAAAAAATATACGATGACTGAGTTTTCTTTTCTACCGTGCGCCGGGAGCCGTGTATGTTCTTATTTGAAAGCAATATAAAAAAAATTATCGTTTTTTGGCAGTTAACTGTTTCCTTTTAAAAATTTTTGATAATATTTACAAGGTATTCGATAAAAAATTATTACATTTTAAAAATTTTTCACGACATTTTGAAAAGGTAAGAAAATTTTTTGATAAACCCCCCGTATATGCCCTTTTTCCCGTAAAAAAACTAATGTCAAGTTATGATTTTTTTTGTATTCTAGAATTCTTCCTATGGAGGACTATTTCTCAAGATTTGATATTTTTTAGTCATTTTAGAAAACACTAGAATGAAGAGAAAAACTAACGTTCTTTCCTTAAAAGTGAACATTTGTTGCACTGTATTTAATAGTGACAGAAAGGAAAATTGTTCCACTCATAATTTTGTTTTACTTTTTACTGAATATATTAAAAACTTAAAAACGATGCATTTTATATGATTTTTATTTAGAGTTATTTAAAAGGAAACATGTAGTAAAACGTTAGTTCTTTTAATTAATGTATACTATACGCCTTAAAATGAGAATAATTAATTGGCTGTTTTATCGTTATGATTACACTATCTAAATAATTGAATTGACTTATACATGTTATAGAGATCTGGTGAATGCTTAGCTCTATTAATTTTAATTTTGATAGTGTACTAAGATTTTAGAAATATTTCACTTTATCACCATCACTATAAATGCCTAAAAATGAGTTCATTTTAATTTCTATATTGAAAATTTGTTTTTTAATGTGCAGTTTTTTATGACTGTACGAATTTGAAATCATGGTATTCATTTAATTGTTAATTACTATGTACAAAGAATACGAATTATCGTGAATTTTCTGGAAACATGTAAGGCATGGTTTTATTACGTAAAACATTGAAAATGCGTTCCATTTATATTAGGAAATGGTTTTATGAAAATGATGTGAATTACGATAGTATCTACTTTGAATCATGTTTGCAAATTGTTTGGTTTACACTGACATTTGATTAGAAAGCAGTTTCATGTACGTTTAATGAAAGTTGAAGTTATGTAATTTATGTTTTATTAACAGTGGATTCAAACGTATCTTGGGAAGTCATGGCTGCTTAGTTGAATCCTATTTACATGATTTAGTCCAGTTATTCAATTACAATTGTCTGTAGTCTGCATGGATATTTTGTCTTTAGAAATGTCTCATGGAGGTGATGAAAATATCATAAACATACCAGAACACTCGTTTTGCTCAAGCTATCTGTGCCAAGAACCAAAATGCACCGACGACCGCTGAAATTATCTTTAAAAAATTGTGTCACTGTGTTTTCCCTAGTCGCAAAAATAGTTCTCAAGAGTGAAATTTTTAAGAACACAATGTGATCCGGGAGTTGTGCAAGGTTGCCGATATTGACAAGACCAGAAGAACTCCTAGTCATCCGTTGGGACATTGAATGCTCGAGAGCATCAACGAAGCTCTTTTAGATATGTTTGGGAAATTTGAGGATGACAAGAAGGCATATTGGAAGTCACATGTTCCCGCTCTTGTCCATGCTTATTATTCTACTCTTCATTCTTAATCTGGTTAGTCTGCCTACTTTGTCATGTTAACACGCCGCCCAAGGCTAGTTATCAATGTGTTTCTCGGATAAAAAAAAATAGACAAAGCTCCTGTCAGTGACAACCCTTATGTCACTTGTCTCCAGAACAGGCTCAAAGTTGTTTACTTATATATTCTGTTGCAATCCGAGAGGGCAAGAAAGAAGGCAAGAAACATATAAGGTATTATGACCCCCGTGTTAGAGAAGCGAAATTGAAGCCCGGAGACCTAGTTATAGTCCAAAATGCAGATTTAAGACGAAAATATAAACTTGCTTATAGAGTGTGATGTTCACAGGTAAATAAGCATAATGCTTATATCATGTATCTTTCCATTGACCATTTCTGTATTTCTGCGCTGTATTTATGCGCTTCGATAGATCTAGTTTCTTTGTTTTAGCAAGACATTTTTGGTTCTCTTTATTTATCAAAATGTCAAGGCGTTTGTTTATGTCCTTTACAGGCATAAATTGCTATTCTTTTATGAAAGAAGGATCAAACGACTAATTTATCACAAACAATGGCACACAAACAATGGCACAGGTATTAAATTTTCAAAATTTATTTAAATAATGGATCCGCGACACTACGAATAACAGAAATTAAGTAATTTAATACATTATTTGTAGTCTTTGTTTGCGAAATCAATATCTGCAGTAATAGTATACATTTGTACATATCAGGCAATTTAAATGTCCGACTGTTGCGAGCATAGTCTCTGATAAGCAGTCTTGTGTATTCACATTAATATAACAATTTAAAAAAAAACACACACACAAAGGCGCATGGTCACTCTATTCAGAAAGAATTTATAATGATATTATCTACATTCATTGGTCGATGGGCATATTTACATTAAAAAAACGTAAACTTGAAGATTTAAAAAGATCAAACAATTTAACACCGTTACTTTTATTAACATTGTAGACCGAAATAGACTCGTTTAGTTGTAAAGCCAATATCATCTGTGCATATATTTAAAATATAATTAATAAATCAAATCACTTTTCTTTTCAATCCTATTGTTTTATGTGTCCAGTGACAAAACATCTCTTATTTGTTTATATTTACGAAAATCAAAAGAGTGTGCTGCAGGAGAGCCCTCAACCAATATATAATTGTCATAATTGTATAAATATTACATATACACACATATATATATATATATATATATTATATATATATATATATATATATATACTTGATCATATGTACTTGATCATAATCTTTAAATCACAAAATGATAAATATATATAGTCAGTTTTGTCTGATGTGAAATAAAAACGATGAGTAAGTTTTTGAATAAGAATGGAATTAAACATAGATAAATGTTTGTGTGCCCCCCTTCCCCCCCCCCCTGATACAGATAAATAAAACTTATTTTGAGTAGGTCGCCTTAATGATATTTTTATGATACTTGACTATTGTTGCATCTGGAACAAGGCAACTACTATGTGCTCTAACTACCATTTCTTAACCTCACATAATCAATATCTTTTCCTCTTAAACAAATGATATAAGTGATAAATGAAGCTTTCATTATCGCGAAGTATTTTACTTATAAATTGTGATATTTATACAAATAATATTTAACCTTCTTACTCAAACATTTGTCAAATCAAATTCAGTGATCATGATAATTTTATGTAATACAATATGTTACTTAGAACACTAGAAATTAACATCATTTGAATATTTTTTCCTTTCATAAAAATTGTTGTTAATATTCAATAACATGTATATTAGATTGTATCCATTCAATTTTGTGATTTTTTTCTTCATTTAAATTATCATGAATGATTGAGTAAGTGCACAAGTGGCTTTAATTTTTAACTTTTCTGCCAGGATAATAGAATTATAATGTATCCGAGTGCTAGAGATCCTTGTATTCAGGATTCGTACTCAACTATTTTCTCTTTTACAAACCGATCAGGTAATAACATGGTTTATAATCAAATTATAAGGCACTCAATTAATTTCAACTTACCTGCAAATACTGTCCTAATTATGTTTAATAATTATGTAAACCCAATATTAACTGATCACTAATTTAAATACGAAAGTTTACAAAATCGTCGATAAAATATGTTTCCTCTCCATTAACTAGTTTGTCACTAAAGCGGTAGTCAATTTAAACCAAATATATTATTTGTTTACCAGTTTGTTTCCCGAGATCCGATACGCCCGGTCTTCAAAATTGTATTTAGATGTCACTCCGGTACGGAATAAGACAAAGCCCGTTGTATTCAAGAAAGTAGTTCCGTGCAAGATTTTTTATATATTAAATACATGAATATATATTTTTTGTAATTGTGTACATGATTTGCAATTTATTTGTGTATCTTTGCAGGACTGTATAAAAAGTTTCATAAAGAACTATGCGCCAGAATACACCCCAGTTATTATTTGGATTATTTTTAAAGTGATTATACAAATTAAAAGCTGATCAAAAGGTCCAAGGGCTAATGTATTTTTATGTGTGTCAAATTCAGTTAGATCATAGTATTGTTGATATTAAGTGTTTTAGTCACCGGGTATGCTGTATCCACAATTTAATCTTAGAATTTATAGATTTACAATAGGATGCATAGGGTGAAATTCTGGGCCGTCTCCTAGATTTACTACTGTAACAATCGATATACTGGTCAATATATATATGATTTAATGTTTATCTAATTTAAGTTTATCAGTACCACTTATTAGGAACAAAATATCAAAACTCAAGACAGTATATTCCTTTCCCATTTCCCTCTATGTTTGATACGTTAACCTAATCCCAATTATGTCCTCTACATCCCGCAGTACTAGAAATTAGCCGGATTAAATAATTATAATATTCTAATTATAATAAATATTTTGTTTCTTACAAACGACTGCTTTGGTAGAGGGGAAAAATAATGAAATAGAAAAATTATCGAAAGGATTTTTTTCAACAAATATACAAAAAATGTTAACATAGCTTTGAACAACCCATTTTTTGGCATTTTGTTAGTTTACGAAAATGTTAAAATTTAACAACTGTTAAGATAATTTGCTGTTAAAGTTAACAATAGTTTTGAACAACTGGACCAATATATACAGGCCTATAATAGAAAAAGAACGAAAGAAATGTTTAGTACTAAATATGGCATTCTAACCCATTCAATCGAGTGCATTATATAACACGAGATTTGCACGGAATAAAAATAAAAGTAGTCTAGGCTAGGAGTCTAGACGGGATTTTTGAGTACAAAATCGGAACCATTCAAGCGAGACGTGATTTATCCGCAATTTATGCTCTGTTGCGCATGATTCAGTAGGGAAGACAATTATCTGGGTTTTAAATATATGTTTGTTTGTTTCATTTTACGCCTTTTCTCGTTTTAAATAATATATATATATATATAATATATATATATATATATATAATATATATATATATATATATATATATATATATATATATATATATATATATAACAGTATAAAACAGACGACGTTTTTTTTTTACCGCCGAATGTCCGTTTAACTGAATAATGCACAGTCGAGCAAGAACTTTTTTATTTTCTATTTGTCTAGAAACAAATCAAATTTTGAAACAATTTCACTACACAGATGCCTTATGTTTCTGTATAATTGTTCATTTGTCCTGGCTTGTGCACTAGCTCACTTTTATTCGTTAGATTAACGATTCAGAGAGAGAAAAATAAAACAACTGTTACAGTTTCTAGGGTTTAATATTTCCAGTGAATTATATTTTTTTCAAATACAAACAATACAAAAAAATACATAAATACAATTAGCATTCACATATTTCTCTTAACAAACAGTGTCCGTTTTTATATATCTAATATCCGTAGGGGAATGAGTTGTAATTTTCAGATAATACTCTATTGTCAAAGACAATTTTATAGTCTTTGGTCTCAGTTGTTGTTATGATATTGCATGTATTTTGATTCCTGGGTACGTTATATACACGCCTTTTAACGCCTTTTTCACCCCCCCCCCTTTTGTTGTCTCAAATGGTGAAAAAATGCCTTATTTAGGCCCCCAACACTTGTTTTTGTTTGAGAAATGTTGTTAAAAAAGTGACATCTTTTTCGGCGCAGCCTCCCAACCAAAAGATACATCAGGGGGTTGTTTGGGGGGTTTGAAGGGGGCGGATTCCCCCTCATCGCCAAGAAAATTTTGGACTTGTGAGAGGCTATAAATGACCCCAGATTGATCATAAGGTAACGTGTAAGCAACGCTGAAAAGCATTTGACTCTATCTCAATCCATTGAGAAGTTGCAGCACTTTGAAATCAATTTTGATGGAAAAAATCAACGAAAAATATTGATTTTTGGCAATTTTGAGATGTCCCCTCGTTGCCATGGTAACAAAAATTTAAGCCTGAGCCTGTTGTTGCAAGAGCAATGGTCCAGTCAACATTTGTGCCAGGTTTGATTAGTGTTGAAGCAGTTTTTATAGTATTATAGCAATTTGAACTTGTAACGGGAGACTTTTCAATGAAAACAGCCATTTTTCACAAAATGCTCATGAAGTAATGGGTTAATGAAAAAAATAAAAAAATCTACAAAACAACAATTATTCTTCAAATTTATATGACAGGCCATGTTTAAACATAAAAAACGCGATTTAGGGTAATTTCAAGTATTTTCATCATTTCCTGTTAACCCATTACGTTATATACACGCCTTTTAACGCCTTTTTCACACATCCCCCTTTTTTGTTGTCTCAAATGGTGAAAAAATGCCTTATTTAGGCCCCCAACACTTGTTTTTGTTTGAGAAATGTTGTTAAAAAAGAGACCTCTTTTTTGGCGCAGCCCCCCAATCAAAAGATACATCAGGGGGTTGCCAGAAGGGGGATGTGCCCCCTTCTGTTTGGGGGTTTGAAGGGGGGCGGATTCCCCCTCATCGCCAAGAAAATTTTGGACTTGTGAGAGGCTATAAATGACCCCAGATTGATCATAAGGTAACGTGTAAGCAACGCTGAAAAGCATTTGACTCTATCTCAATCCATTGAGAAGTTGCAGCACTTTGAAATCAATTTTGATGGAAAAAATCAACGAAAAATATTGATTTTTGGCAATTTTGAGATGTCCCCTCGTTGCCATGGTAACAGAAAATTTAAGCCTGAGCCTGTTGTTGCAAGAGCAATGGTCCAGTCAACATTTGTGCCAGGTTTGATTAGTGTTGAAGCAGTTTTTATAGTAACGGGAGACTTTTCAATGAAAACAGCCATTTTTCACAAAATGCTCATGAAGTAATGGGTTAATGAAAAAAATCAAAGAATCTACAAAACAACAATTTTTCTTCAAATTTATATGACAGGCCATGTTTAAACATAAAAAAAAAACGCGATTTAGGGTAATTTCAAGTATTTTCATCATTTCCTGTTAACCCATTACGTTATATACACGCCTTTTAACGACTTTTTACCCCCCTTTTTTTGTTGTCTCAAATGGTGAAAAAATGCCTTATTTAGGCCCCCAACACTTGTTTTTGTTTGAGAAATGTTTTTTTTAAAAAAGTGACCTCTTTTTCGGCGCGGCCCCTAACCAAAAGATACATCAGGGAGTTGCCAGAAGGGGGATGTGCCCCCTTCTGTTTGGGGGGTTTGAAGGGGGGCGGATTCCCCCTCATCGCCAAGAAAATTTTAGACTTGTGAGAGGCTATAAATGACCCCAGATTGATTATAAGGTAACGTGTAAGCAACGCTGAAAAGCATTTGACTCTATCTCAATCCATTGAGAAGTTGCAGCACTTTGAAATCAATTTTGATGGAAAAAATCAACGCAAAATAGTGATTTTTGGCAATTTTGAGATGTCCCCTCGTTGCCATGGTAACAGAAAATTTAAGCCTGAGCATGTTGTTGCAAGGGCAATGGTCCAGTCAACATTTGTGCCAGGTTTGATTAGTGTTGAAGTGTTTTTTATAGTATTATAGCAATTTAAACTTGTAACGGGAGACTTTTCAATGAAAACAGCCATTTTTCACAAAATGCTCATGAAGTAATGGGTTAAGACATGTGTTTTGTTCCTGTTCAGTAACCATTTGCTTGAACGTGTTGAAATTTATATTCAAAGAATTCTTAAGATTTAGAGTAATGCCCAGTACTTTACAAATAGAAGATTGACCTTTTTTTTTGTTTTTTTTTCCAAACAGTACGCGTAGTTCTTAGGCCCTCCTGTCACAAATTTAGTTATTTGTTTGTTGGGAACTTCATCAGTTAAATCCCCCAGGAAGTCACCTAAAGGGGGCTGCCACTGTCCCTGGGAACAGGTGAACACAACATAATCAGTGTCGCAATATAGAACCCTATCTCCAAGTGGTTTGTAAATAACTATACAGTTTAAATCGGGCTTGGGCTGTAGTATACGCAGCAACAATTATGTTCGTACGGCATGAAGTCTCTATGAAATCACTGGTATAAGCCCAGTCTAGCTGTACTGCTTCATCATTTATGAAACGCACGTTTTTCACTTCTTGTTGGTCTGATGTCATCATGTCAATGAACTGAACGGGATCATCAATAATGGCTGTTTGAGTAAGATTAGAACGTTGCCCAAATTTTCCCCAGAACGAGTTTAAAATTATTTTTGCCAGCAGTCTTAGGCCAGGATTTTCCTCAATATTATTATACTCTAGCAAAATGCCCTCCCTTTCAAAATACTCTTGAATGTATTTGTGTCTGTTTGTTTCTGTTTTACACCAGTCTGGCCAACCACTGGCTTCTTGTTTAACTTTCGGGAAGGTGTTCACATATTCCGTTAATAGGCCCCCTCCTGTTTTGGTGTGAGGGTCATATTGAGCCATTTCATTAAAATGCCAAACTTCATAAACATTTAGAAGCCTATAACCCTGGGATAAAGCCATTTTTACCTCATCAGTAACCCAAGTGCCTGTAACGGCTCTTTCATTGTCATCGTGTTGACATTTTCCATTTTCATAGGTTTCGCTGCAAGTACGACAGGAACTGAACATAAGTTTACTGTTACATTTACTTGGTAAAACGGGAATATACAGTTTTTTTGGAGGTTGAATCTTACATTCGATTAACCCTTCATTATAACTTAAACCTACAAAATTTTCAGTGATTATATTTTGATGACCAAAGGGGATTATCCCTGTTTTGTTTATGTTAGGATATAGGGATGTCACATCGAAGTACATAATCTGAGTATCTGCCGTGGACTCTGCGTACATTTTAAATGCTTCAGTTCGGTCGCTATGGAAAACATATCTCGGCTCTAAAGGGAGAGTTATTTCCAAAGAATCAATATATGCTTTCATCTTTGGATTGGAGTCTAATTGCTTTTTGAAATCGCATTCCCATATACACTCATAAACATACCCTTCTGATTCAAGGTATTTCTGTTTCTCAATAGTGTTTGTGTATAATTCAGACATTGTTGATCCATTAACCTGATTAATTGTGCTTTTGGAAAAACATTTTGGACACCCATGCCAAAAATTTCCATAGAACTCTAGAACAACTTTTTGACCATCTTCTGTTTCATAGTACCCATCAACTTTATAAGGTCCTATCTGTTTCTCCCCCTTATTTCGGCCATGTTGAATATATATTTGCCTTTCAAATGCAATGTAAGATAGCCACTGATAAGCCATTACAGACTGTTTAGCCTCAGGGCGATAACCGTGGGATGGGATGATGCCAATTGTATCGTGACCTAAGAAAAGTGTTCTGAATACAAGATTACAAGCAGAAGCTATTGTGATACATTTTTTTGAATGGATCTATTCCATTTGTATCTTCTGACAATTTTATATTGCCACTTTGTAACAATGAACTGCCACAGCAACATTATGGCTTAGATAAATAAAATTGATTTTAAAAGGTTTTAACAAAGCTTCAGCCGTGACAAAGGTCTTGAGAAAACATAAGACTGAGTTTGAAAATTTATTTGAGACTGATATTACTAATGATGAAGAAGTGACGAGGAAGAAAGTGACAACGATAAGGAGGACTAGGAATAACAAGAGCCACCGCCGGGCGGGGGCAACGCTCGACTTTTTACTTCCTCTAAAAAGCAAACAAAGAAATGTTTGAACAAAATCTTAACGTTTCTTTTTTATAAAATTAATCGGTCTGTCTTGTCACATTAGTTTTGTCTATATATTTTAAAAGAAACACGCAATTCTATAAATAGAAACATGCAGTTCTAAAAATAGAAAATTCTTTAAATAAATACACGTGATGAAGTCACGTGGTGACACGTGGTGGTGTCACTTGGTTGACAGATGGTGGTGTCACGTGGTGAAGTCACGTGGTGGAATCAAGTGTTGAAGTCACGTGGTGAAGTCGCGTGGTAGAGTCACGTTGTGAAGTCACGTGGTGTAGTAACGTGGTAAAATCACATGGTGGTGTCACGTGGTGGAGTCACGTAGTAGAGTCACATGGTGGAGTCACTTGGTAGAGTCAAGTAGTGGAGTTACGTGAATAAGTCACGTGGTGGAGTCATGTGGTGTCACGTGGCTGTGTCACGTGGTGTCACCTGGTGACACGTGTTGTTGTTGTTGGTGATGATGATGATATATATATATATATATATATATATATATATATATATACAGACACACACCCACACCAATAAATATATATGGTCATCAAATCTGAGAAAATTCAGTAATTTAACCTTCAAGGTTCAAGGACATTAAAGAGCCCAAAGTGTTAGTTAACAACAAGGTCTTGTCCCTAAGTATGATCTGTTATAATATGAAGTTGATCCTTCAATAATAACAAAGTTACAGCCAGTTACAGCCAAAAACAATAAAAAAATTTCAATAATTTGAACTTCAAAGTCTCAAGGTCATTAATGAGTGAAGGTCAAGGTCTGTCTGGCTATTTTTAGGGTTATCCTTGAAGATTATTATGTTCAAGTTTGAAGACAATCCATTCAAAAATAACAAAGTTACAGCCAATAATAGCCAAAAAATGAAAATTTCAATAATTTGACCTTCAAAGTCAAGGTCATTTATGAGTAAAGGTCAAGGTCTGTCTGGTTTATTTTTAAGGGATATCCTTTGAAGATTATTATGTTCAAGTTTGAAGACAATCCATTCAAAAAAAAAAAAGTTACAGCCAATAACAGCATGAACAAGCAAAATTTGGACTTTTAACCTTGAAGTCAAGGTAATTTATGGATGAAGGTCAAGGTTAGTGTGGTCTACTGAAAGGTCTTGTCCCAAGGGTTGTTGTGGCCAAGTATGAAGACAATACACCAAGAAATAAAAAAGTTATGATCCAGGTACAAGTTTTGCGGACGGCAAAGGCAAACACAACGGCAACGCCGCCGCGACTTTAGCAATACCTCTACTTTTTTTTCAAAAAAATAAAGTCGAGCTAAAAACAGTTGTCAAAGAAAAAAACAATCATTTGATATTCGAACATTAAACTGTAAAGATATGGCTCCTTGGGAAAACTTTTTAAAGAAAATATATTTGGATCCAGCACATCCGGCAAGTTTTGCAGGCCCTCAGAAACTGTACAAAGTGGTGAAGGATGAAGGCAAATATAACATAGGTATGCACAGAATCAGGAAGTTTCTACACAATCAAGAAGCATATAGTTTTACATAAACCGGTGAGAAGACGGCTTTAAAGGAACCACGTTGTCAGTGCGGGAAAAGATGATTTGTGGATGGCAGACTTGATCGATATGGTGAAATTTGCTAAATAGAACAACGGTTTCAAATACATTTTGTTAGTGATAGACACATTCTCCAGGTATGTTTGGTTGAGACCACTCAAACAGAAAACTGGACAAGATGTTACTGAAGCTTTCATAGACACCATGGTTGAATCTGGCCGGAGACCTCGACGATTAATAACTGACAAGGTATTTATAAACTATTATTATTTCACCAGTTTACTTTTTATTATTTATATTATGTGTACTTGAAAAATGACAACAGTATTAATATATTTTATACATTTTGTTTGTTTTCAGGTCAGGAGTTTAGAGCCAAGACGGTGCAAGAACTAATGAAGAAACATGACGTAATATATTCACCCACACAAAATGAGACAAAAGTGAGTACATCCGAAAGGTTAAACTTATTATTGATACGAACATTAAGGTATTCTTCAATATTTAATGTAGTTTTTTAATGTTGACTTGAATAACTATTTAATTATATGTAATGTAAATCGCATGTAAATATATTTTTTTCTTGTATCTTGTAGGGCCATTCAAACAATAAAAACAAGGACAATTACACGTATTTACCAATTCTTGATGACATCGTGGAAAGTTATAATCAAACGTTTCACAGAACAATTGGAATGAGGCCCATTGATGTGAAGGAGACCAACCAGGAGGAAGTTAGATTATCCACGTACTTTACACAAAACAAAAACAAAGGAAAAGGGAACATTAAATTGAGACCCTTCAAATTTAAGATTGGTGATTATGTACGGATCAGTCATCTGCGCACTGTGTTTACGCAAGCGAATGATGAAACCAACACTGGAGAAGTGTTTCGGGTTTACAAACGTTATCACAGAGGTACATTGCCTATTTATCGTCTTCAGATCATGCAACAAGAAGAAATCAAAGGCACATTCTATGAAAGCGAGTTACAGAAAGTGGACATTGATCCTAATCAAACATGGAAATAGAGAAAATATTAAAATCCCGAGGAAAAGGACGAAATAAACAACACTACGTCAAATGGAAAAAAGTTTCCCGCCTAAATGTAACAGTTGGGTAAAAGCTTCAGACTTAAATTAACGTTTTTTGAGTTTTATGTGTAAAATACTTACTATTGGATGAAAGCTTCGGCCTTAAAAATTAACAATTTACTTTGTGTGTTAATGTGTAAAATATTTACTGTCTAAAAAAATATTACTCTATTAATGATTTTTTAAACATGTTATTCCCCCTGTCCCCATAAAAAAAAAAAAAAAAAAAATTTTGGGAAAATAAAAGTAAATAGTTAACACCACTTTTTTGCCAAAACCCCTGTATCACTAAAAAATAAAGGGGGCTAAAGGGCCCAACTGCATTTTGGGACGTATGAAGGGAAATCAAATAACTATTTTCAAATTTCGGGGCAAAATTAATTTCCAAATGAGGGGAAGGGTGTTGCCGGTTGATAAATTTTAAAAGTGCACAATTCAGAAAATGAACAGTAGATTGATAAAATTTTTATTTTAAATGCACACATAAAAATAAAAATTTTTTAAGGTTACATGTACGTTAGGTCCATCAAAAACCTTTATTGGTTTTTTTTTTCCCAACAGAAACAAGGGGAAATGGGGGGGCTACCAAAAGGAAAAAACTGAAAAAGCTGACTATTTTAAACACATAAAATTTAAAAAGGGGGAAAACCCAAAGCTATGAAAAAATTAAATTGTGAATATATAAAAATTTTCCTGAAACCCAATTTATCAAGTAAAAAAAATAAAATGGTCAATTTTTTTTTGGCTTTCACTTATATAAATGTACCATTTTCATAAAAAATTTTTAATGGTTTTTGGTTTTACGGGCCAATTCTCATGCTAATTTTTTTAAACTGTTTTTAACGTTTTAAATTTTCAAAAAAATTTTCCTTCAATTTTTTAAAATTCCTCTCTCGGAAATATCATAAAAAATATATACGGGAAAATTTCCCAAAAATAAGTAATGTGGGAAATTTTGGTTATTTAAACAAAACCCTTCCTGCCCCCAAGTCCCTAAAAACTGAAATTTATTTTTGAGTTTTGATATTTTTGAAAATTTTTCCCCCAGAAAACCCCATTTTTTTAAAAAGGGTTTGTTTAC